CTCCTGCCCCGAACCCAATCCAAACTCGAAGGAATGATCACAATGCTTGGGACTAAACTGGCGGTCTTTTTGCAAGATCCTTTTCTACCAGCTCTATCATGAGATGTTCATTTGGACTAAACAAAGTAGAGGAGACTACAATAAAACGATTGGTATTTTGCATTCTTACCATAAAATTTTGAAACAAAAACCTAACAAATTAAAAATTTATATGAAGCCAAATCCCTCATCTACAAAAAAAATAAAAAATGTAGCTCTCTACCTATAATACTTTAGGAGCTATGATTAATTATGTGAGGTATGTGATCTTAGCCATTTTACCTCATAACCAGAGTAAAATGGCTAGGCATCCGAGCAAAGTGGTTAAAATAAAATTGAATATAACTTTTGTTTTATTGAACAAAGTATTGTAACTTTGGCATCTATTCATCATTTTTAAGTATAAACTTATCAATATAATATGGGAATGTAAATATTTTTATCAAAAATAGCAAATTTAGAGTGTGACTATTTTAAGCACATGGGACATTTCAATTATTATCTCTCTTTGCGATTACTTTTAAAATTTTATTCCAAATAATACAAAATATTTATTAATGTTCTTTTTCGCTCAGAAAAATCTTTTTATAAGGTGTAGATGTTAATATTTAAAAATTATCTTTTTTTAACCAGACGGAAAATTTTAACCGTTTTATCCATAACAACTTTACTCCAAGGTGTTATATTACACAAATTGTTATTGTGTGACTTCTAGTTATGCTATAAACTTCCAATAAATATTATTTTATAAGTGACTTTAAAAAAATATATAAATTTAAATCGTGAGCTTTAATATACTTTCCAAAAGTAGAATAAACTAGAGGTTTATATAATTTCTGGGTAAAACGGTTTTTTGGCAAATATGTCAAACTATGAAGTTTTTCAAAAGATGAACAAAGGTAAGGAATTAGATATAAAAATACATCTCCACATTAAATTTAGGTCTATATGCTCAAGGGAAAAAGTTATTCGTGTTAACATTATTACCCCGTAAATCGCTTTCTGGTCTCCCCTACTTACAAACAGAAGAAAATAAATTGCTTCTTATATAAATCCAAAAATTATAATTTTTATATCTTATATTTATCTCAATATTTTTTCAAAATAAATTATTATAATTATGATAGATAAATCTCTAGTTAAATTATATATTCCATTTAATAGATATTTTTTATAAGATCCTGTACTAGTACCATCCAGGTAAATAAATAAAAATTTGGATCTGATACCTGTGATAAAATTTAATGTAGTATATCTCTGATAATAATATAAAGTTTTTAATAAATGCAGATTGTCATTTTTTATTTATTCATCATTTTATAATTAATTCATGAAATTCATAAAATTAAACTAAGATAAATAAGAAATAAAAATTAAAGTATTTTCTTTTTTATCAGTCTATAAATTTTTATATTTTTTTAAATAAATTGTTGGCTAAATCTTTTTTAAATATAATGAAGATTAATTAACAGTGAATCAACTATTGGTATCAGTTGAAATTTAAAGTATCTGATGATACATACCAATACTGCCCAATACCATGATATTAGTCTGATATTGATGTCAAGTATTAGTATGTCTCTGAATAAATGATCAACAATATTCATATCAAAAATAATCAATAAATGAAAATTATCAATCAATAAAAAACATATTAAATATATAAAAGAGGGCATATTACTATAAAAAGCATTTTATACTAATAAATGACCTATTATGTTTCTATTTCAATAAACATTTCCCAACATTAAAAATATTTTGTCAATCAATAATAGAATTATTTTGATTCAACATAACAAAAATTCACTATATGAAGTTCACAATAACAGTTTTACTGCTTACTTTCTAGAAAACCATAAGAAGTTTAAGAAAATATTAGACATGAATATTGGTTTTGGTATAAAAAAAATCTTTATATTGACAATATTTTTTTTATAAAAATGAAGTGTTCAGTAAAAATGTTATAGATTATTAATAAAACGAATGTATTACATTGCTAAAATGATAGGTTAATTATCCTATGTTTTTTTAAGATTAAAAATGTTATACAGGGAAACTAGAAAGATTGTAGATCATATATTAATATTAAAATATTATAAAAATTAGAACCCATGAGACCTGTTTTTTGTGAACCCTACCTGTCCCAAAAAAAAATCTTGAAAACTCTGTGATTAGTCCAAGATTTTTTGAATTTTTTTCTTGCTGTCCAATCCCACATTTCTTAAAGATGTGCAAGCTCATCCCACCTGAAAATTAAAAATAATAATTAGATCCAAGTGGGCCAAACTCTTTTTTTAGGCAGGTTTATAATACTAATTGCTTTATCAACATATTTTCTATATTTTTATTTTGTTATTAATATTCTATATTCTACTCAAATATAATTAACTTTTTAATGGAATTGAGAGAAAAACGTATATTTTGTCATAAATATAATAGTAAGTAAAATTTGGGAAAATTATTATATTTATACTTATGAAAAAAATAATATTTAATAAAAAAGGGTAAGGTTTAAAAAAACACAAACAAAGTAATTTTGTAAACTTTCTAAAATATTTTAAGTTTTGTTGATATACTTAACGTTAACACTATGTTTTATAAATATCTTTATTTCAATTCAATTAATATATCACCAGCTGCATTGCAAAATTTGTATGTGAAATTTTTTCAAAATTAACTTTTTCTCATCACAATAAAAAAAATTTGGGCAGGTATAGTTGGGAAATATTTATTTACAATTAAAATTTATTAATAATATCAATAAATCATCATTTGATTGTATATTATTTTACAATTTTGTATATATTGGACTATTTCTTATAACATACTGAAAAATAAATGAATTTTAAAGTGTTTTTTAGCAATATTTTTTTAATAAAGTCAATATTGTTCCCCCCCCCCCCTTACCCATTTTGAGGCCCACTAATCAATATCATATATATAAAGCTTGTACCATATCCCCAATTGACATGAAATTTGCAATAAGTTAATTTTCCACTTTGAAAATTTGACTCTTCATGCCATTTAGCATTTTAACCTTTATTATGAATTCTAAAACTTTATTAATATTTATTTGCAATAAGTAAGTCAAACATAGAAAATAACTAATAATAAGATTAATTATAATTTGATTTATATGTAAGATATGAGACGACATAATTTTTTAAAGTAAAATAAATTTTATAAATTAAAAATAGTTAAGCAAATTTTCAAAAAAATATATAATAAAAATAACAAATAAAAATATTCAGAAAATTTCCAAAAAATATTATAGTTTATTATCTATTAAAATAAAGCCATAACTTTTTTATATTTTATAAATTATTTTTCAAAAATTTAATAATCTATAATAATTTAAAATATTCATTTTCAAACAAAAATAAACTTCATTTTTAATATGATTTTGCAAATATTTCTCTTTTATTTAATCATTTATTTTGAGTTATTGAAAAAAATGGCTAAAATCTTACCTATCAAGATTTTACCACTATTTTAAAAAAGTATAATTATAAGTTTTAAACATAATATATTAATATTTCAAGTAATTCTGTTTTAAATAATGTTCCTCTTTGCTTAAAAATTACATATTTTTCCTCCTTATTTTTTTAAATTTTTTATGATATTGCTAAATCCTCAGAATAAATTATAGCTAACCTAAAATATTTTATCATCACAAATATAACTAATAAAAATTTAATCTTATATGGGGTCCATATTAAAATGATATTTTTAATATAAGTTATCTTCTTTATTAACATATATATTTAATTAAAAATGAATTATAATATATTTAGTGTAATCATTAAAAGCATAAAAGTTTAGGAGAAAATCAAGCATTAAAATATCTATATATATTATATATTTATCAGAGACCTATTGTTCCAGCCCCAAAGAAGCTAAAAATGGAATTATTTAAAAAATCCAAGCCAGATCACACTTAAATTTTTATTAAATAAAAAATGCATACCAAGCTCTTTTAAAATATTTTTTTTAATTTTATCAATTAATCAATTAGAACAAGTTTGAAAATCATTGAATGGAGCATTTATTTTGTAAGTTCATATTTTCAATTATTCCTTTATGATAATTTGCAAATAGCTATAATTAATCAAAATATTAAAATTCCAGGTTGTGCCATAAATTATCAAAAGTAAGAATTCAGGCCAGGCTATCAAAAATTCCAAAATAATCTTGGGCTGGGCTTGAAAATAATATTATTTAATCTGGACTGGGCCTAAAATTTTACCTCTACAGAGTTTAAATATTATTACATATATTCATGTAATATTAATATAAAATTATAAAACTATAATTATATAAAGAAAGGTAAATTATCTAATATTATCCAAATTTAAATAACATGTTAATCCCCTTACCCCAACAGAAATTTGCCAATTCTTATAAATATCTTTTAAGCTACTAAAAAATTTCCATTAAACCCTCCTCCCTCCATGTATACAATATTTAAAACATAAATAAGTTAAAAATATTTAAAATAACTAATTTAACTCAAAATTTTCAGAAAAAAAAGCATTTTTACATAAAAACAAGTGAAAACCCAAAATTATTTTTATAAAAATATAACAGCCAAAAATAGTGGATTTAATGATCTCTAATAAAATTTATAGCATAAAAACAAACTTAATAGCCCCACCACATAAGAAAATCTTGTATATGCCTATGAAATTTATTAAATAAAATATATATTGTTTTTAATCATCATAATTATATTATTACTTTTAATACTAAATGCTAACTAACATTAAGTTGATTTCATTAAAAATGTAACAATTATAAAAAATATATTTTATTTAGATAATATTATTAAGACCTTAGAATAATTATCTATTATGAACATATCATAATTGCTTATAATGTAAAAGAATATATTATATGATATACAGCATTTAAATTAATATTGAAATTTACATTATTTAGAAATTAAAAATATTTAATCTTACTTCTAAATATTTTATGATGGAAGAATTATAATCAACAGTTTTCCTATTTACTGATTTACGCATCCTCTTCCCATCAAAATTTAAAGCTTGATTAGGCGTATAATGTTGAGCAGATAATTGTGGAGGCATATAATTTGAGGATTTATGATGTTGATTAGTTAATTGAAAAGATATTTTATTAAAAAATGGTTTATAAGTTGGTTTTATCTTTTCTTCTATTATATTTATTTCTTGATTCATTGCCATTTTTAAATATATATCCACAAGGGAATATTTAATTATATTTATTCAGAATTTCTGAATGAGATTTTATAGTAAATTTAAATTATAAATAATGACAGGGTTGGGCAAATTTCCACGATATTCTATTTGGATACAGATACTTTATAAAATTTTGTATAAGATACAAAATATTAGATACTTTATAAAATTCAAAAAGATTCAAGATACTTGTAACTTTATCAAGCTTTTTTTTCTTAATTATAAAATAAATTTATAAAAATATGAAAATATATTTTAGAAATTAACAAATTGTTATATAAGATAATACGATATAAAGATCTTTCTTAAAATTGTATATAATAATAATGAAAACAATATCAGAACAAAATTAATTAGTTAATATCAATAAATCAACGTCATAAATCAGCATTATATATTATTAATTTTTCAAATAATATGTCGTTCAGTCTTTGACGACTTGGTCTATTTGTCGAGGGTTAGTGATAAAAAAAATAGTGGTAAAAATGCGTTTTTAAAGTTATTATCAAATTTTAATTTTAATAATTTTTACTGCAAAACAGCTTGTTTGAATTAAATTTGTGATTTTTTAGCGACATTTAATATTGTAGCTGATTTTCCATAATAACAGCTAATTTAGCTTTTTTATCATCGCTATAGACAATGGGGACATTATGCAAGAATATTCTTCTAATAATTGCATTTCAATAACTCTTAGTTTTCGATATTCTAATTTTATATATAATTTTGGAAGTTATTTAATAAACTAGTAAGGCTATCAAACATGTTATTCTATCTCGTACAGCATGGTGTAACTAACTATTTTATTAAAACTGCTTTGATAAACTCAGTATTTGTGGAATTCTTTACATTCTGCAGTAATTTTATTGTTCATATTGAGTAACTTGTAAAAATTTCCCATTTAAAATACTTAATTTAAAATTATAATTATATTCTTCTGTAGGAGAATCATCTGATGAAGATAATGATATTATTCTCTTCTTCTTCAATCATTATTTAAAAATAGACGGATATAAAAGGACTCAAATATAATATGGTATTTGTTTGCAAATTGCTATATGACGACCAACGTCATGTATCATACATTATCTTAAAATATCTAAATTTGGATTAATTTTTTCATTTAACTTTTAAAATAATATCCTTTTAAATTTTAATACTATTTAAATTAACTAATATAAAATTTTTTTAAAAGTATCTATATCTTTTTAATTACAAAATGATTAAGATACAAATATTTTTAAATAATTTGTATCTTAGATATATGATACTTTCCAAAATTTTAAAAAAGATACAAGAACAAGATACTTTGTATCTTAGGTACAAATATGCGATACTGCCCAACCCTGAATAATAATTTGGTTTTAATCAAGTAACTTTATGAATAAAGTAATTTTATGAATACTGATAGTTATAAATTAATTTCCTATTAAAGTGAAATAAATTCTATTTAATTATTTAGCAGTCTATATTAACCGCTCAAAATATTTTGTGTATATTGGAGGAGGGATTCAGAAAAATTAAATACAAATAATAGATTTTCTAAAATATGTAAATTTAAAATACCAGTCTCATAAAAACATTTATTAATTTTTGAAAAGAATTGGATATTTATTTGGAAAATTTTTTTAAAACATTACAAAGGATCAATTATATTTATACAAAGTGCATTTCTTTGCATTTTTAAGACTATATATATCTAATGTTAGATTTTTTACGACCCCCAAACTGAGTAAGAGTTTTAAAAAAATGGGCCATGTACCATGCAAAAGTAATAAAAAAAAACTACGATCCAACCAGACTGTTAATATGACCGATTAATACTAACCTTTAAATTGTTTTTTTTATGTTGATATAAATTGATTTTTTTTATATATTGATAGATTGATTTTTTTTATATAAATTTTGATATATTTTGTTATATAAAGCAGATTTTTTTTAGTTCAAAAAGAATGTAAAATTTTAAAATATATATTGTATAAAATTTAATAATTTATTTAAATAAACGATTTTTATATAAACCAATCTTCTAAAATACTTTATGGTTAAATATGAAACAGATTCCCAATAATAATGTTAATATAAATATTGAATTTCCAATATACGCAGGCAATGGCGATCTTTTTTTGAGTAGATTCGAAGATATCTTCAAGGACACTCAGATCTCGGACATCGAGAAATCAGGTTCCTTTACAAGAAGATTACCAGATGAGGTATATATCAAGCTTAAATCGATATGTTCACCTACCGACTTCATCAATATAGCGATATTGATTGAAAAATTCAGGTTATTACACCCGAGGAAATCTACAAGTTCCAACTTATTATTATTTAATGCAGCTGTACAAGGTAAAAACGAAAGTTACATCGATTGGGTAAGTAGATTATGCATTTTAAAAAATGAATGTTTGCTAAGTGATAGTAGAGTTATTGAAAAAGTAAAAATTTCGTCAATCAGCAAAAATATTAGGCAGAAAATTACGTTAAAAGAAAACATTACATTAGAAGAAGTTCTTACTTTAAGAGATGATTTTGAAGAGTTAGAATTGAAAGAAAATATAATTGCTAAAGTTGAAAATATTTCTTTAAACGAAAAAACAGAAGATGATACAACCGTGAAACATGTAGAAAGGCAAAGAGGCAGGAAAACAGAAGAAAATAAACAATTGGTGAGATATGGAGACCATGATGAACGACAAAATTTACAATCTAATTACGATAACAGACAACGATGGACAGCAAAAGGCCATGACTTTCAAAGAAATATTTATCAAGGAAATAGTTATAACCCCAGATATCAAGGAAATAATTACAACCCTAGATATCAGAATTATAACGCGAATTATTACAACAACGTCAGAGCAAACTATCCAGGATCGTACAATAATTCTTCGAGATTTGATAATAGAGCTAGTTATAATAAAAATGACTATAATAATAATAGATTTAATAATGATTATAATTACAGATATAACAGACATTATAACGATTCAAGATGTATTCAAAGATATAACGATAATCATAATATTGGAAATCGAGGAACAAATCAAATGTGCAATTGTAAATATCATAACAACGACAATAATCAATCACGATATACAAATAAAGTAAACACTGTAAATATAATCAGCCACCGATCCCTGAAGTGCGACGCCGAAGGTGTTACAATTGCCAGGAAATGGGACACTTGCGGCATCAGTGTTCCCGGCCATCCCGGGGGGCTCGCGTACTCTTAAAAGTGCTATCCGAAAACCCGCGAGTGGGAGTCAACGAAGGACGAAAACCCTCGCATCACGATTTAGAGGTGGGACAGCCAATAGACCCAATTCCCTCAAGGCCGGATAGGGACATGGATAGAAATTCTCTTAATATTCGCCATTTTGACGCTCGAGGTCAGACCCTGAATGGATCCCGAGGTCCGAGTGTGGATAATATATTGCAGAAAGCGGTGGTCACTACGCTAACTTCTGGTGTTCCGCAGACGGCGGGCACTGAGGATTTTTGGGTCAACCCCATGTCTGTTTAAGAAAGTTATGTGTAAAGATATTCTCGAAATAATATTGTAAGCCTTATTTTTTTTAGATTATTTTTGTTTTATATATGACGATATGCCATGAGCCCATAAAGGGGTGGCATGTCGTATTTGTATATACGAATACATTTATTTTTTTACGCCAAATGCCAATCAACCGATTCAAATAAGGTTGATTGGATATAAAAATTAAATGTAATAATATATATTTTTTTTATTAGATTTTAATTTTTTTAATATGAAAATTACGAAGACGCATTTTTTTTATTAATTAATTATATATATGAAATTTTGAAGATTTTTTTTGTTGGAAATTATTAATAAAGAAATTATTCGTGTAATTTTAGTGTGTTAATTAATTATATATTTAGAGCATTGATTAAGTTTTTTATTTATTTAGTTCTCTAGTTTGTCAGTTATATTTCTTTTCTGTTTTCTGATTTTTGTAATTTCGTATAATCTTTGACAGTTTTTCTTTGGTTTCGAGGTTATTAGGTTTTTTTTATAAATGATTTTAAATATATATATTTTTTTAATTTTATAACATCTTATTTTGGTTAAAGAAGCCATTTTATATCGGATCAAATTTAATAATATTGGCCGATAACCTATATTTTAAAATGGGTGAAATATCGGCCTGATCTGATAAAAAATATTGGCACATCCCTAATATATTTTATATATAATTATTTTAGCAAGTTCTTATTAGAGGAAATATTTAAGCTACAATTGATATATAACATTAGATAATTTTAAAAGGCTCTTAATAAAATAATTATAATAAGGTAGAATTTAACTTTATTAGTTACTTTTATTTATTTATGATATGAGTAAAATTACATTACAATATTTATTTTCAAAATTTAATCAATTTAAAATGCATTAAAAATTTTTTTATATATTTAATAATTAAATAATATAATGTTGTACATTATTTTCATATTTTTTATATATAATTAATGATTTTGCAAGAATTATTTAGAAAAAATTTAAAAAGAGATTTAAATGATATTTATTTATATGATATTACAAACGCAAGAATTAATAAGTCATATTAGAAAATAAAACTAATTAAAAAATACATAAATATCACAAGTAATGATAAATACTTATTAAAGATAATGAATAAAATAAACTAGTATATTTTTTTTAGAGATGCCATTTAGCCATATACTCCGAATATAAGCTTTATTTAAAACAACACAGAAAAAACCTGCAAATTCTAATAAATCATTTGATTTAATTTTTTTCTTCTTATTTGCAAATTTTCACCTCCCATTAAATATATTACTCCCTGTTTAAGCTATTAATGGGCAAAAACTAATATTAAAATCCCTGGTTATTATAATTAATTCATCAATAAATATTTATTAATTATTGCAAATATTCATTCTTATATGTGTATGCTTTGTTCTTCACAAATAAATAATAAAAACATTATT